GGCCACAAACTCAAATGTCCCTCCCACCTCCTCCAGGCAGCCTGGCGAACCCCAGGACCTGGGCATGCCCTAGCTCAGCCACATGCACCAAAAACTAGGGGCGTGAGCAGTGTGTGTGTGTGTGTGTGTGTGTGTGTGTGTAAATGACCAGAAACAGGGAGATGGGGTGACTGGAAGATGCCAGCAGGTCAAGTGCAACTGTGGGGTCAGAGTCTGCAGTAAGGGTGTGAAGGGGGGCCCTTCTGGCAGGGTTGGGGGTGTGACCGATGACAGAGGCTGTGGGACTGGGACTGAGAACAGCACCAGGGAGCAGAGGTCGGGCGCACAGGCCACCCGGGGTGCACAGGGCCAGCGGGCAGACCTGAGCCATAGGCCTTCTCGCCACCTGGTGCCCCGCTGTCCTCATGGAGATGGGGCAGCTCTGGGACACGGGCGTCCAGTCTACCTCTGTCCTTCTGCATAACTCTAGGTTTTCCTGCAGACGCCGCTGGGGACTGCATGGTGGAATGAGTATTAAGCCTCATCAGGAAAGCCAGGACCACAATGGGTATTTCCTCACCACGAAGCAGGTCAGACCACGCTACTGCCATGCCCAAGAGTCTGTTACTTTTAGAACCAAGAGCCATGTTTTAGAAATGACGCCCCTTGGTACCTTTATTTCAATTTGTCATTTTTTTTAACCTTAAAACTATGCAAGGTGCTCGCTTCGGCAGCACATACCCTAAAATCGGAACGATGCAGAGATTAGCGTGGATGACACGTAGATGCGTGAGGCGTTCCGTAATTTGGCTCCAGCAAAAAGAGAAAAAGTTACGCATGCCTGGTGCTGGAAGTAGACCCAGACAGCTCTCAGACCCACCCCATTTCACAGTTGTGTTCCTCGCTTTACGTTGATGAGTTTGTTTTAGTAGCGCATCCCAAATTGTTAAAATCAGTAGGTCAGCCAGGCACAATTAAAGCGGGTACTTTAGAAGATTGTAAACACAGAATAAATTTCAGCCTCATGTAAATGAGGTGTGATTTCCATAATAAAGCCATTCTTGTCGCTGGTGCATAGCTTAAAGGCTGCAATTACAAAGCAAACAGATACTATGGCACAACGCTTCCTCAAAAAAATGGCAATTAGAGTCATTGAAATCATATTTTCCACTAAAAAAAAATAAAGAGGTGGGATGTATTCCCAGTGGAATCTACTAACTTCCTGAGGACTTTCTGGGTAATCTTACTACTAACAGCCACTTTCTGGTTTTTTCCTTTCTGCAAGTAATTTCTGCTACTAAAACCATTTCAAACTACTTCGTTTTTCACGTTAGTGACTCTTGTTAATTTAACTGTTTTAGTTAGGTGCTTTGATGGCTTTTTTTTTCCTCCCTATAGTAGAACTTCATCCTGACACGAGCCTGACTTAACGTAGTATTGTAAGTGAGTCCTTCTTCTTGGTTGTAGTAAAATGTTTGTAACATGAGATTTGAGTGTACAGTTCGGTATTATCAGGTACATTCACGATGTCACACAGCCGCCACCGTCAGAATCTCCCACACGTTCTCCTCAGAGCAAACGGAAACCCTAAATCCTGTAAATAATAACCTGCGGCTCTCCGTCTAGTCCGTGAGGGTAACCTCGGCCCGGCTCTTTGCTCCATACATCTGCATACTCTAAAATCCTTGTGTAAAGGAAATCACTTGCCCTGTTGTGTCCGGCTGACTGCACTTAACACATCATTTGCAAGGCTCCTGGCTGCTGGGGCACTGACCAGAATTTCGCTTCTGCTGAGCGCCCTGGTGGGCCAGCCACTGCGATGAGAGGGTGTGGTATGGCGGGCTTCCCGCGGCAGCGCCAGAGCTGAGTCCAAGCTCGGAGTGCGGCAGGGAGGCCAGAGGCGAGGCCCCCTCTGTGTCCTCCCGTGGAAAGAGGCCGGCCCCTTCTTCGGTGCTGACCCTGCGTGTCAACACCGCAGGATTTTGTTCGTCCACTCATCTGCTGAGGGTACTTGGCTTGGTCCTTTGGGCTGTTGGTGTAGCAGTGCTTGCTTCAGGCCCCGCGTCTAGATTTTAGGGTTCCTACCTAGCAGTGGGGTTCTGGGGTGACAAGGGAATTCTGCTTAACTCTGAGGCATGGCCAGTTTGCTGCTGCCAGCCCTCCTGCCCGACATGAAGTGTATCCCCCTGTGGGGCTTTCTTTATGGTTGGAAGATGACTTGGACTTTTTAAAACTGTTTTTCCACGTGTTTGGATTAGTGCATGTTGGTGGGGAGGATTCCTGGTTGCATTCTGGCAGATTCGCTCAGGCAGGAAGCACACTCTGCTCATTTCCTCCTCGACGCTCCTACCCCAGGTTCACAGGCTGGGGAGCTTCGCTGCACATGGTGTATTTTGATCACATTCACCCCCCATCCCCTCTGCTTCTCTTCCTCTCGTCTAACAATAGTGCTGGCACGGTTTGTATCTAGCTGCAAAGAGAGCCTCAGGTGCTCCTCAGTGAGGCTTTTGGCATCCCGGGCTTGCTGGTGGGAGGTGGGCCCGGACAGTGGGGTTGGGGAGCACGCAGACACTATTTCGTCCCCCTCCCACTCCTCCCTTCACCCTGTGCTTCCGGCTGCCCTGCGTGAACAGCCACGAACAGCCCTCCTCTGCCCGCCTCTGCCACAGCGCCCCGCCTCGGAGGCAGCTGACTCTGGTCTGAGACATGAGCCAGAATAAACTTCTCCTGCCTGCAGTTGTGGGTGTCATTGTTTTGTCCCAGCAATGAGGGAAGCAATAAGATCATCTCTCTCTGCTCTTGTCATGTTTGCCAGATGCCATATATGTGTTAGGGAGAATGTGGAATGTTTGTCTTTCTGAGTCGGGTTTATTGTACTCAATGTGATAACTCTGTATCCACCCATTTTTCTGCAAATGTAAAACATTCATTTTCATGGCACAGTAATACTCCATTGTGTGTTTGCACATTTTCTTTGTCCATTCATCTTTCAATGGGCACCTGAACTGGTTCCATATCTTTGCTATTGTGTATGGTACTACAATAAACGTGGGTGTGTAGGTGTCTCCATAGTGTGCTGTCTTTAATTCCTTCAAGTCTGTACCAAGCAGTAGTACAGGTGGGTCAAACAGTAGTTCTATTGTCACTGTCACCAGCCACATGAATGCCAGGTGTAGCCCCACAGGAAGTGACAGACCCTGAGTGGGTGTAGAAGGCCATGTGTACAAGGGGAGGGGTGATGTAATGGGAGATTTGGTCACATACAGGGGAGCTGACCAAACAGGGAAATAAATTAAGACTATTGAGTAAACATGGCAGCCCACACCTGTAATCCCAGCACTCTGGAGGCTGAGGCAGGAGGATCACAAGTTTGAGGTCAGCCTGAACAATGCAGCAACGTCACAAGACCTGTCTCAAAATAAAAATTAGGAAAGGTCTGGGAGTGTAACTCAGTTCAATTCTCAACAATGGGGAGAAAACAAAACAAAATATACAGAGACAGAGAAACAGATTTGTCACTGATAGAAGAAGTAGTTACAAAATACGGGAAGGAGGAAACTCGAATTAAGCCTATGGACTGAAATTGGAAATGCTGGTGCCAGAGCGTAACAGCCGTGGCCTTGAGTCTAGCTGCCCATGGAGTCCTTGTTCCCACTGGAAAGCTCTCGAGCCTGGCCTTTACTGTCTGCAATCCTATCAGCACCCTGGTCTTCTGAGTTCTGACCAGTGCTCCCTCCAGCACTGCTCACAGTGTTCTAGGGCTTCTTCTGCTGATCTCTCCAAACCTTCCCGAGTTCCTCCCCAAACCAGTTCCAAGGACTGCTAAACCACACAGGCAAGTATAGTCATAGCAACGACTACTTCTCTAGTACCTGTTTTTCTCTATTAATCACTTTCCTACCACCCACAACTTAACTGGAGTTTAATCTGGCTTGTGGTTCTGGAGATTCAGTCTGTGGTCAGCCAGCTCCAAGGCCGAAATACCACGGCAGAGGGCGCTGTGGGAGAAAACTGTTCACCTAATGGCAGCCAGGAAGCAGAGCAGGGGAAGAGTGTCGCAAAGGAACGGCCAGGGGACCATGTGTAGTACTAAGGTCACGTCTCCATGACCCGTGGACACACCCAGGAGCACGTTTCACTAATCTGCTGGGCATGTCTTAACCCAAGGAGGCAGACAAGTCAGGGTTAATGGTCACAAGGGTTGAGAGAGTCCAGGGCACACAGAACCGTGGGAGATTGAGCCCGCAGAGGCTTGTGAGGTATGCAGGGCGGGGTTATTGTAATGAGCAGGTGGAACCTGAGGATGGTGCTAATGTTTCAATGTGAATTTCTTGATGTTATGATACTGTGTGTACAGAAGAAAATATCTCTGTAGAAGATCCACAGCAAAGTGTTCAGAGGGTAATGTTATATAAATTGTCATTCAAACAGTAAAATCCCATCTGTGAAGTTATGGTAAAGTCCAGACATCAAAGAAAACTCACAAGCAGATAGGAATGGTCCTAGAGTCCCTTGGCCCTGAAGAAATCCGCTGTGAAAGTCACCGGGGGGTGAACTCTGCGCCCTTGCTCTTAACCTTCGTAATAAATTCTGGTATCTTCTCAGTCAATTTTTTTTAAAAGGGGAACACCTGTTTCCTGCCAGTCAAAGCGTTCTTTATGTACTTTCCAATTATAAATGCCAATCTGGGGAGCACGGCCGCCGGCGTATCTGCCTTGAAGGCAATGCAGATTTGCGTTGCTCGTGGTACTTCCTCAAGAGGCCAGCAGGTGGCAGGCGAGGAGAGGAACAGCTCTCCCCAGCCTGGGGCCAAGAGCGGACCCTTTAGGGGAGCAGAGAAGCCGGGCTCAGCGATGCGCCTTCCCTTCCCCTGCGTGAGAATAGGATTTCCAGCGTCGTCTCTCCCTGGGCGCTCAGACACGGAACACCTGTTACAAAAAAGCAGCAAAAGCAAGTGTGTGTGGGCGCGTCGCCGTGTGGTGTAAGGAAGCTCACAGTCTCTTTCCCTTTGTGATTTCCAGAAATCCCGCTGATTCTGTATCTCTTTGCCCTGATTTCGGTGACCTGGCTCTGGGGAGGTCTGCACGTGGCCTACAGACACTTCTGGATGCTGGTTCTCTTCGTCATCTTCAACAGCCTGCAGGTAAACCTCCGAGGCGCCCTCCTGACCGCGCGCGGCCGGTGAGCACGTGGCCGGTGAGCGCGAGGCGCAGCGCCCCGGGGCTGCCCAGCGAAGGGTCAGTGTGCGGGTGAATCCACACACGCTGTAGCATCCTTGGCCTGTGGGTAAATAAGGCAGGGGGGCTGCACCTTCCTTGGAAATACTCCCAGGATCCTACTCCACAGAGAGGGAACACACACCCTCTTGTCTGCACTTACACCCCAGTATCTGCACAAACACCCTCTCTCAGCAGCGTGGATGTGTAGACTTTGCAGAGGGGGACAGTGGCGGACCCAGGCACACACCCGGACCGGCCTCGGTGGCTGTCCCTACCTCATCGGCAGAGGGGCGAAACACAGCAACGCTCCATCACCCCGCCTCCATCACCCCGTCTGACGCCTTCCGTGGGTGTGAAAAAATTTCGCTTACTAGAAAAAACAAACAGACCTCGCCCAGGTCCGCAGTGCCGGCCTAAATGAGTTTTGTGAGCAGGGTTGGAGACCATAACTAAAGCTTACCTCCCTGCGGCAAAAAGGACCGCTGATTTTTTTTTAGTGCTCTTGTTGAGGGGGAAAAGTCACACCTGAAATGAACAAATGGGCCAACCGAACATGTTTTCCGTACTTTCCAAAGTGAACGGGGCTCGACTGGGCTAGAATCACTTCTTAAATTCACCCAAGCACCTCTGTGCGGTCCTCGTGGCCGCGCCATCCCGCCAAGAGTGTGGGCGCCGTGCGTACCATCGAGGGTGGAGCGGCTGCCGACACGTGAGGCAGGCGATTTTAGGTTTGCTCTTGAGCAGTCAGACCCTTTCGTGGAAACGTAGTTCACATGAGCTCATGCAGTGGAAGCCTAGCTCCGGCTTAGGATGAGAACAGTGGCTTTGAAGTCTGGGGTGGAGGGCATGCAGTTGACACTGCACACCCTCAGGGAATGCAGCCCAGCACCTGCTCCTGCCCCAGGGTGGGGGAGCCGCCTGCCCACTGCTGTCCAAGGGCCCGTGGCAGGTGACAGGTGCCAGCCTGTCGGAGCCCACGGCTCGGTCACCTTCGGACCACACAGCTGGTGGGACTGGGGTGAAGGTGCAGTTGTCGGCCCGCAGATGGGTTTTACCTGGCAGAGGTGGAACACAGAGGCACACGGGCACCTTCCGATTTTTCGGTATTTGCTGCTCGCTGTCAAAGTGGAGACTGTCAGATGCCAGCTCAGGTTCTGCCTTTCCTCAGTGGCTGCTCCCACGCAGCAGCCGAGAGCCCTGGGCGTGGAGCGCCTGGCCTCCGCGGAGACCCGGCGCCTCCCTGCTCGGCTCGCAGCGGTTCGGTTCCGAGGTGGGAATCCGGGAGCAGGAGCAGGTGCAGCCGGGCAGCCCCTGCAGAGATCCGTGTGGGCGAGGCTACGAGGGGTGGTTCGTCTTCTCTAGATGGAGCGCGAGGTTGGCCAGGGAAAGAAAGGCGTCGAAACTAGAGCGAAGGCCTAGACTCAGGGCAGGCTGGCTGGTCAGCTGCAGCTGTGGCCGACCGGGAGCTAGTGGAGTGGTGGGTGTGGAGTGTTTTATCCTGATTTTTAAAACTGTGTCAGTTTTTATCTTCTTGTGGGGAGCTGCTCTCACCTCCCCTTAGAGGGATGACAGGGGGCCTTGGGAGGGGACGTTGAAAAGAAGAGTGGCTGAAAAGCTCTGGAGATGTCGCTCAGTGTGAAGGTGCTGGTTTCAATCCCCAGCACCGACAGAGGGAGGAGGGCAGAACTCCCTCTGCCCCGTGCAGCGGGATGGAGGTCCTCGGGGGGGCCTCGTGAAGACCCCACGCCAGAGCTTCTGATCGGTCATCAGCATGGACCCCGGGAGTCTATGCTTCTAAAGAGTGTCCAGGGGGTGCTGACTCGGCAGGTTTAGGGCCTACTATGTGAGGAAAACAGAAGTGAAAGAAGATATGGTATTGATACACAGTGGAGTACTACTTTGCTGTAAAGAAGGATAAACCTGAGTCCTTTGCAGGAGAAAGGATGCGCCTGGAAACTTAATGTTAAGTGAAATAAACGAGACACACAAACTTAAACACCCACAGAAACCCAAAATACAAAGAAATTAATGAGCAAAATACAAGCTGGATAATAGGAAACGGGGAGCTTGAGTTTTTGCCAAAGGGAAGGGGGCCCAGAGATGTGGGGAGAGAGAAGAGAGGGTGGGGAGGGGGAGAGAAAAAGAACTAAGGTGTGTGCCGTCCATGACCACTTCCCGCAAGGAACGCGCTCGTTATGTACTGCAGACCTGGACTGATAGCAATAAGAACGTTTCTGCAATGTAAAAGCTGAGAATACTTCAAACCCGTGTTGACGGAGCCTACCGTAGTCTACGGGCGCCCTGGAAGCTGAGGGTGTTCAGAACCCCGGGACCTCGCGCTTTCCTGGTGCCCAGCGCTCAATGAATCGTCCCTAACGTTGGGCCTGCTGGAAAGGCTTGGAAATCCCGCTGCTCCGGGCTGTCCTGGGGTCACGGGATTGATCAAGCGCCTCTGCATTTCCATGGACCCTGGCTGTCCCGTGAGGACGTGATGGTGTCTGCCTCGTTTCGTTCTTGCTTCTGGCTCTGTGGTTTTGGGGCGCTGTATTCTTCCACACATGGGACCTCAGAGCGCCTTGCACTTGCCTGTTCCGTTCGGCGGGAGGCGACTCCTGCCTGGCCCTGTATGTGTGTGTGCCGGGTCACAGCCGCGACCGCCGGGAGAAGGGCGCGTCCTTGATCTCTCTCTCTCCTGCTGACTACCTGATGCTTTTTTTTTTTGGTTTTGGTTTTTTTCTCCGGTACCGGGAACCGAACTCACGACCTTGCGCTTGCCAGGCAGGCGCTTTTGCCGCTGAGCTAAATCCCCAGCCCCTACCTGATGCTCTCTAAGCAAGGCAACCTTGATCACTTGAAATGCTTTCAGGAACTTATCGGTCACGTCCTGAAAGATCGAAGCTGAGCTACCATACTTACAATGAATGCATTTGAGCATTTAAGAAAAGGTACGTGAGCTGGGCACGCCTGTAATCCCAGCACTCGGAAGGCTGACGCAGGAGAAGCATTGCAAGTTCGAGACCAGCCTGGGCTACAAAGTGAGCTCAAGGCCAGCCTGAGCTGCATAGGGAGACCCTGTCCCAAACAAAAAGAAAATGTACATGAAATAATATTTAAAGTATGATTAATGTAAGTATAAAAGAGAGCTTAGAGAAAATCACCATTTTAAATGTCTGCTGTTCTGGCTTGCATCTAGGATTCCCCAAAGCCTCATAGGTGGGGGCTTTTTCAGAGGCAGCTGGATCTAGAGTGTGTGCCCTGGGGTTGATTCATGGCCCCATGCCAGGCTCAAGGGCAGTAGGATTAAGGGTGTGAGTGCTGCCCCTCCCCCAATAGCCTGGATACAATAAAAGGGGCAGAAAGACACTGTAAAGGCCTCTTTGTTTTTGCTGTCTTCTGCCTCCAGGAAATGTTTCTCCTCTGCAATGCTCCTCTGCCATACTGCCCTGCCCTGGAGCCAGCCAGTTATGGGCTGAAATCCCCACAAACTGTGAGCTAAATAAACCTTTCCCCCTTGAACTTTGGGTGTCAGGTCTTTTTGTCTCAGCAATGAGAGAAAAGTAACTAAGACATCTACCATTATTTTTATTGCTTAATAATTTTCCTTCACATCTAAAGAGAAGCTCTTCCTCCAAAAAACTGGACTTTTCACTCAAATTCTTATTGGCTTATCCTTAATATTTAATTTTCTTTTTTATAAATTAAACTAGCAAAAGTGAGCAGAAATAGAGAAGGAAGGTAGAAAAATATTTTATAGTTGATGTTTTTCCTAATTTTTTTCCTACTTCTGTAGCCCCAGGGTACCATGTCAGCATGGCCACGATAATTTCCTCTGGCTACTTGCCTGTGATGCTCTTGCTGTGCAGTGAGCGAATCCTGGTGCTCCCTGTGCTTTCTTTCAAGTCAACACGGGCACTCTGAAACTTCAAAAGAGGAAGAGACAGCATCACACTTACTGGGCCACCAGGCCTAAGTCCCAGAGGCTCCAGAGCGCCATCTTGGATTTTGCTGACTGGGTTTCTGAGGGAACTAAACATGGCGGCTGCAGTAGACTCACCTTCCACCAGCTCCCAACCCCAGAGGGAAAACCTCCTTCTCCACACGAAACTCCTGTCAAGAACCAAACTGCCCTGCTGTGGCCACGTCCACCCAGGACCCAGGCACATGGTAAATGGTGCTCTGGCCAGGCCTGGGTCATGGAGAGATTCCAGTGGTGGGAAGAGTCCAGTTGATCTCATAAAAACCACACTGAAAGGAATCTATCACTAGGGAGGGTTCTCTTGCCAGCAGGGGACCTAGGCCAAAGTCACAGAGTCTACTGCACGTGCTTCCTCTGTCCGCTTCACTGACTCAGGTTTGACAAGGACAGGGACAGCCATCACCAAAACCCCTAGAAACCCCACTGGTTTCTTGACATACGTTTGTATGACTGTCACTATCTACACAATTTTTTATATTGTTCACCAAAATTCATAAGAGACTGTTTTTTAATTCCCTGTTCTAGTAGGATCTCACTGTGTCGTCCAGGCCAACCTTGAACTTGCTTTGTAGCCCAGGCTGCCTGGGAACTTAGGATCCTCCTGCCTCAGCCTCCTCTGTGCTGGTCCTACAGGCATGCACCACTCCAACCAGCTTGCATGTGTCAGCTTGAAGTGGATTCATGCTAATACTTATAAACCCTAAGATTCTGTAGTAGTTGAATCCAAGATGTATTTGGAGCCAGTGGATATCGGAGGAAGGGTAATTCACAGGCTGATACTCAACTGCTGGGCCCTGGTAGACCAACCATATCAATTATGAAAATACTCACATAGCCATTACCTACCCGTCATTGTCTCAGGCTTCTGGCCTTTTGAATCAGAAGTGTCGCCAGAGTTCTGGTAGCCGAAAGGGTAAGGCGAGGCCATCAGAGTCCCTGAAAGCCCGT